ACGCGGTGACAGGCCGGCTTTCCGGGGCTAGTGGTACTTGCCAATAACCTTGTTTTAAATCAATTGTACTAATGAACTGCGCTTCCCTTAGCTTCTCTAGAATTGCATTTACCTGAGGAAGTGGGTACGCATCCGGTTCGCTAGCTTTGTTAACTCGTCTCAAGTCAAGGCATAGACGGTAGCTTCCCGATGGTTTTTTTACTACAACCATTGGTGAACTCCATGGGCTACTCGATGTCTCTATGACTCCTTCATTGATCATTCTGTCGACCTCGTCATTTATTACTTGTTGCATCGCTGGATTCCTCGGATAGTACCTTTGTTTTACTGGTTCCTTGTCCTTTAATTTAATTTTGTGCTCTACTAAATTCGTGCGTCCAGGGACATCATTGAACTTCGGCAATTCTTCGCCAAGGAACCCTTGTAATATACTTTGCTGAGTATCAGTCAACCCCTCGTAATCAACTTCTTCATGTTCCACCGTGTCGTGTTCGTTGGTTGGTTCGGAATTTAGTTCGTCTGAGCGTTTAAAACCGTCTAAAGGAGCAACGTTGATGTTGACTAATTTAAATTTCTTTATAAGATCTATTCCAAGAATCATCTGCGCTGACAAGTTCGGTAGGTGAGCGGCCGAAATGTGACGTCGTGTACCATTTATTTTACACATAAAGTGATGCATTTCTGCGGTCTTAACTCTCGTCTTGTCGGCCATTGTTATATCATACGTCTTGCCACTCGTTCGTATTCCGATTTCTTTTAGATAACTAGCTACTTCATTGTTAATTAAAGAAACTACCGCCCCGGTATCAATTAGGGCTTTAAATTTCCGATCTTCAATTAGTACGTCTACAAATGGTCGAGGGTCCGTATCGCTTACTCCTTTAACGCTACAAAAATCCTTTATCTTTCGAAGCCAGCCTTCCCAATCAGTGGAGGTCGTTAACGCGAACCTTCTACTGGACTCCGGGGACCTCCCTTTCCCGCAGTCCTCTTGTCGTTTCCCGTCCCCCTACAATTGCACGAAGTCGTTTTGACACCTGGGGTCTTACAATTGAAACATCTTAGTTGTTTGGGTTGTCGGCAGTCTCTAAACATATGGCCGACCCTGTCGCAATTCCAACATACCTTTGGTGGAAATCCATCAAAGTTTCGTGCCTCCGAGCAATTCCCCATTTTGCTATCTCTAGATGTAGGGTTCTCCCGGCTTGGAGTCTTTGGGTCTTGGAAATTTACTTTATTCTGTACCCTTGGTACCTCGGAATTTGAGGGACTGTTAGTAGAGTACCCCTTGGCATGACTCACTGTAGACGCATTAAAATTTTGTCGATAGTTAGAACGATATCTACCATGATAAGCTGTCTCTGATACAAGAGCTTGTGCGGGATTCGGCGGTGGTCTGAAATTTTGTTTTTCTCGTAGATATAATTCGTACTCTTCTGTGACTTTCATTAACGTAGAAAGATTGGTGAAGTCCCGCCTTCTTACATACAGTTTGTAACTGGGGTGCATGTTCTGATAGACTCTCTCTAACTTCTGGGTCTCGGTAAAACCACCTCGTCTCCGAATCAGAGTCATCAGGGCGATAGCATAGTGACGAAACATTTCGCCCTCCCCTTGAGTACGTTTTCTTATTTCATCGTCTAACTGAAGACAGTACCCTGGAGGTAAATATTGTATCTGAAAGTCCCTCAGAAAGTCGGCAAAGCTCGTCCAGAAATGTCTGTTATTTCGGTACCATAGCAAAGCATTTTCTTTTAGGAGTTCGGGTAAAGCTTTCAGAACATTATCGGGTTGCAAGTCGTATGCTTCGACTAACTCGTGTAATCGCTCGAGAAAGGATATAGCGTCGGCGTCTCTTCGACCATCAAATCTTAGATTCCATTTTCTAACGATATTGCATAATGATGCCGTCTCGGATGAGTCTCTGACTGAGGTATTATGAACGTGAAGACTCTGGTCTGCTCCGTAGACGGATTTCTTAGGAGTCCCCAGAGTATAAGTATCTTGGTATTGGTCGGGCAGAGCAAATGTCGGTGCCGTAAATAGTGCTGCGGCGCCTGCTACTGTGTCTACGTTGCTTTCGGTACGTTTACGCGGGGTCGTTGAGCGAGGCATAGAAGTTAGTAACTGACGAACCTCAGAAAAACTAGCCGTAGGAGGTAGACCTAAGATCTCTCGAATATTTCCCGCCTCCGAGGCTAAAGGGTTTTGAGTCTGGCTAATGTTTTGGGCTGTAATCTCATGCCCTTCACTATGGACCGTCGACGACAAAGTGCCATCACGACAAAGTTTTACGAGTTCTGCCCTCAACTCTGTGACGGGCCGTTCAGTCGGTAAACCATATTTAGAAAGCTCTGCTTGTAGTTGGGGCTTTGTTAAGTTATATACCCAACTAACCCGCGGAGCTTGATCAGTCGATGCGGTCGTTATAGTATTCGTTACTACTGGGGTTTCGCTAGTCGTAGTCTGATCAATCGTAGGGCTCACCTCTGATTTCTTACCGGCGCCGTCGCCCTCTACTATATATCTCCAGATAAACTTCAAACCAACGATGTACCATAAGGTATGCCAAAATTTCAAAATATCTAACTCCATCGTTTCGGATCTCGATCGTGCGATGACCTATCAAGGTCCCTGTTCGGGCGCCAAAATGTGAGGTTAAAATTACCGGGGTGTCGAAAAACGTACCTCACAAATAAAGTTTGCCGGATAAAACAGTCGAAGCGTGGGTAATTTCGTCCAAGGTTCGATTGTTTACGTAAATACTAAGTCTAAGCTCAGAAATGAGTGTGAGTCAAGCAAAAGCTTACTCCAATACAACTCTTTTCATCACAGCTATCACAGACCTAGTAATCGATCGGAAATGAATTTTGGTCCTTCGAGCCGGATAATGCCTTGATGGCCAAAAGTCGTCGTAGGGCAAAATATGGACGCGGGCCGAAATCCCTAACGCCTATTCTAACCCCGAGCGGTGCAATATACAACTATTGCACACGCAACCTAACCGTACGGTGCAATATATACTATTGCACACGTTTTCCTACCGCTCGCTTAAATTAGTGCCTCGATGGCCGAATATCGTCGATGGGCAAAATAAACGCGGACCGAAATCCCTAACGCCTATTCTAACCCCGAGCGGTGCAATATATAACTATTGCACACGCAACCTAACCGTACGGTGCAATATATGCTATTGCACACGTTTTCCTACCGTTCGCTTAAGTTAGTGCCTCGATGGCCGAATTGGTCCTTCGAGCCGGATAATGCCTCGATGGCCGAATTGGTCCTTCGAGCCGGATAATGCCTCGATGGCCGAATTGGTCCTTCGAGCCGGATAATGCCTCGATGGCCGAAAGTCGTCGTAGGGTAAAATATGGACGCGGGCCGAAATCCCTAACGCCTATTCTAACCCCGAGCGGTGCAATATATAACTATTGCACACGCAACCTAACCGTACGGTGCAATATATGCTATTGCACACGTTTCCCTGCCGTTCGCTTAAGTTAGTGCCTCGATGGCCGAATATCGTCGATGGGTAAAATATAGACACGGGCCGAAATCCCTAACGCCTATTCTAACCCCGAGCGGTGCAATATATAACTATTGCACACGCAACCTAACCGTACGGTGCAATATATACTATTGCACACGTTTCCCTACCGTTCGTTTAAATTAAATTAGTGCCCTGATGGCCGAATATCGTCGATGGGTAAAATAAACGCGGGCCGAAATCCCTAACGCCTATTCTAACCCCGAGCGGTGCAATATATACTATTGCACACGTTTCCCTTATACTTACCTGACTCTGGGTTAGTGGTGCACCATGTACTGCCACACCCGACTAACTCTAACCTTACCTGGTACTCCAACTGGGTAGTTCGGTTAGATAACTACTTAAATAAATTACCTAGAGCCGGTGCCGGTATGAGGAAAATATCGTGAGTAACCGTGCTTAATATTCTTAAGCACAGGTCGAGTTTATATTTATCGAAAAGTCGAATTTCAGTGCAAAATGTTCTTATGCACATGAAGTAAATTTAGAACTATCGTATATCTATCGAATGGTTGAATTTCAGTGCAAAATATTCTTATGCACATGAAATTATCGTATGTCTATCGAATGGTCGAATTTCAGTGCAAAATATTCTTATGCACATGAAATTAATTTAAAAGCTACCGTTAACTCACCAAGACGTCTTACTTCCGTACCGCACGAGTGATCTGTCTTGACTGTCCTCCCACCGTACCTAGGCCTTATATACCCTCCCGTGGGGCAGGAATTTTCCATACCTCAGCACAAAGGTCGGGAGTGCAGGTTGCAACGCGCTTGGACGGGCAACTCGTCGGTGCGCGTTCGTCCGCGCCTTATCGCTCCTAACCACTGATACGACCCGACGACAACAAAGCCCGCCTCGGCTTTAAACACAAAATATTCTATTGATTTAAATTAAGTATTTATACTCGGCGAAATAATAAATATACCTTGGTTTTAAGAACAAAATACTCTTCTGTTATAAACTAAGTGTTTATACTTGACGAAATAATACATAAACCTTCGGGTTCAAATTATATTTATATTTACAAAAATAAAACTATCTCCTTATGTAAAACAATATTTCCTTCTAAATGAAATAAAATCGTCTTCTAACTAAAATACTGTACAATCGTCTTTCGAATTAAAATAATATCCTTCTAAAAATAAAACCCTTACAATGTTAACTTAACAGGTTCATAGTAACTATGGAATATATTTTTTTACTGTTAAAAAAGTAGACAACTATTAAATTAAACTTATTACATTGCTAATTTAGTTAATAAACAATAGGGTAAATGACATATCATCTGAGGTTAACATTTTTACAGGAGAGGAGTAATGCAAATGCATTATCTATTTTGTACTCATATAAGAGGTGCACTTTGGATTATAAAACCTCTTAGTTTATCAATACTCAACTACATTTTCAGAAGGGTTGTATCAGTTAACACTTGAAGCCTTTTACCTCTAATACGTGTAAATCCTGGCTCCACAATGTCAAAGATTTTCAGAATGTCTTCGCAGATTTGCACTTTCCGCTCAAGTGTTTCCTCGTTCATCTGACTGATGAGGAAGCCAGCTGTCTTGCCGTACAGTTGACTCAGTGAGTACTTGAGGCCCACTATGAGGTAATGGCTGGGGTGTAACAGCCCACTGTACCTTCGGATAGCCGCCTCTATCAACAGCACCTTCTCCTGGTCCAACCCACTGATTTCTTGTTCAACCCTAAAGAGTTTAAAGAACGTTTAGAATTGACTCGTGTTGAGAGCTGGTCAGCTGAGAGGCTATTTACTACACAGCTGTTAGATAATAAATAATAAAGTAATATTTTCTTTTCTCCCAGTAAATACATTACAAGTCAATGCACAATACAGAAATGAAAAATTTTAATACAATTGTTTGAAACTAAATGTCCCACGTGTCAGACTGACTAAGAAAATACTTGAAGTTTTGAACGTTATAGACCCAAACCGCTATCATTGAGAGGTGGTGATGTTGGAAAATTAACTGGTCTTAGACAGTGACAAAGATAAACAAGGCTTACTCAAATAACGGGAGAAATCCGAGATTCACACGTTGCTGTGTATTTAAGCTGTATATGAATGCAGAGGGGTTGTAGAATGGAGTGAGATGGCCAGTGAAGTGTTGTTCTTGATAAGAATAGCTGCTTCTTTAGTACATACAATTTATTTTAAAACCCAGTCCACGAGGGCAGCTGGGTACATAGTTTTAGATCATCAAAAAGCTATATTTCTCCCGATTTACCTGGCGACCCACCGATTATTAGACGAGTACTAACCACCCAGCTTTGCTTCTTATTCGACAAGTAATTACGTCAAGTAAATTTTGTACAGACTTGTACCAACACTACTTTTACAGATCACTGCCTAACTTGTAGTAGTTTACATTTGCATTTGGGGACAGTTTTGTAATACCGTTTTCATTGCTTAAACCTATCACCAAAAACTATTCTTGAAATTCCATCAGTCCTACATCACATTCTAGCAAGGTGTTTCTTATACAAACCAATTTAGGATTCTATGATGTGGTATTTCAGTATTTTAATCCCAAACAAAAAGTTGTTCACATAAATCAATAAGTCTTTCTCAACAACATGATTCATTTTGGGAAAAAACCGTTAATGTAGCAACTCTTGCCTATTAATCACCTGTTAATTGCAGTGTTGATGTCTTTGTTGAGATGAGTGCTGTTGCAAGCGTCACATCTCCAGTCAGTGTCGTCTCTGAGGGGCTCCACGGGCAGCACTCGACCTGCACTGCAGTTCCGGCACTTGAGCGCACTCATGTAAGTGCCGAGCTCTGTGGAATCACTGCAGCGCTGGCATGAGCACTCGAAAAACTTGCACTTTCTCAGGTGCTCTCTACGTTTGACTGTACCCTGGAAGTGACACAAGGTTATGTAATTGTGATCAAACCTTACAATACAATACCATACTATAAACTTACTGTAAAACACTGTAGAAGCGTTTCCTTAAAGATCATTAATTTATTAAATTCCTGTAGATCTACTGTTATCAATGTGTAGACAAAATTACTGTCATTGCTTGCATTAATGATATTTATTGGAGAAAGTGGTAATAGGGGTGGTTACCTTTAGAGAGTTTGTGTAAGACAAAGTTAACATTTGCCCTTGGCGTAGTTTGACAGATGTGAACACCTTTATCTTGTAGTTCTCATCGTCTGTGTGTGAAGTGTTGGCTACACAATCATGAGCGAAGAAGTATGCTTCCGGGTAGAGACCTTGGATGTTGATAGAGTCCCCACCAATGGAAAATGCATTCACCTGTCATTATAAACACGTTGAAATTACTTTTTAAAGAACCAACTGTATATTTAAAATGTTTCAATAATGTACCTTAATCACCAACGCTTATTAAATTTTGTGACTCTATCATTGTGTAACTATAGGTGTCTGTAACTCGATCACTAGGTTTCTTCAAACAACAAGTACTCTAATACCCATAATGAATCATTGGCCAATACCATACAATTTGAAAATTATTTCAGTATAACATTTGAGCTACGAGGGAATCTAGTTAATTGCCATGTAACTATAACAGCTTGAATAAAAAAACAAATAATACTTTGTATTACATCAATTAACGCAATATAGTGCAAAACATACCTCAGCATATCCACAAACAGTGTGGATTTCCTCCTCAGTGAATTTGTCAATCTTCCACTCATTTCTTATCCGATCCACAACAGACTTCTGGTTGTAGTTCCAGATGGACTGCTGTTTCCTCCGTAGCTCGTTGTGAGCTTGCATTGTGTTCAGGATTCTCCACTTTTCCGGCTGATGTTCTCGCAGCATTAGACATCTCAGTGGGAATATTGCATTGTACAGCTGTTGCTTTTGAAGACTGTTACTTTCAATCGGGCATTTTGAGAGGAGCAAACATTCTTCTTTGCTGTGTCCATTGATTTTGTTCAAGCCCTTGCAAGCGTTGGAGCATAATGGCCATTTGCAGGATTTGCAACTAAAAGAAAGTGTGTTAGTTATTGATTGAAGGTGTAGATGAATTAACTTACCATGCTACAAGCTAGTACTGCTTCTAAGCTATACTAAGCTATGTATCTCAATGTCAAGTGGCATAAGAATATTGACTAAGATGTAGAGTGCATTTAATACATTGACATATTTTCATTCAAAGCATGAATTGGTAAGAATGAAATAATCTCAACATTTTTTCAAAGGATAAATCTAAGATATCACACACCTAACAGAACACTGGTATTTCATCTTGATATAGGACTTCTTCAAAGAGTCATTCTTAAACGTATTTAGCGAGTTTTAATCCCCGTGCAAATATTTTTTGTATCGAGGGTTTTGAAAGGGATCCTCCTCCCTCAACACCTCACTGAGGTCACAAGCTTGAATGCTTAGCAAATTACTCAGCGACTTTTACGTTACCGGATGATGATTATGTCACTCAAAAATTTGCTAGACCTTCCTATTTTACCAAGACAATGATTGGTAATTTTGAGGTTTAAGGGTATTTTAACTCAATACTTATAAAAAAAATATATGAACCATACTTTTCTGCAGAGTCGATGCTGCTCAGTTCTGTGTAACAGCCCAGACATAAAGGTGCAGAATCAGACACAGGACCCACTACCAGTGGTTCTGCCTCTATGATGACTGTACCTTCAGCAATGTCTCGACTGGCCTCCAGATATCTGTGCAAGAAATCAGAATGGCATTGGATAGTGTCTAACGTTGTACAATGCACTATCAGGCCACTTTAGCACAATTTTCAGGATAATTAGTTAGAAATTCTGTATAAAGTTTGGAATATGCATGGGCAGAGAAGGGAATGACAGCATCTGTGGAATGAGATATCAGATTTACACCAATTGGTCTGGTTATATAGAGACAAAACAATTAATTATTGTTTTATTTTTGGTAGCATAGTCTCTACTAATTATCCTATATATTAATAGACTAGCATGTTTCTTGAAAACTTTTTTCTCAGCTTGTGTGCATCGCAGGGAAAATCTACGCATACTGTTAGAAAGATATTTTCCTGTAGAAGTGCAGAATCCCTTTATTAATAAAAATATGCTAAAAAATAAGCACAAACAATGAATTAAAAATTTTAAAAATTAACATGGGCCTTATGGGTTGCCATGCTGGTGACAAAATAACAATGAAATATAAACAGAAAGACAAAATAAATGGAATAAATTCCAAAACATGTATTATTTATAGTGTGGGGAGAAAATAGAGAAGTCTGTATATTACATATTTTTGGTAGATTTTTTTACCCCTGTACTACCTCTAGTTCTATTTAATCTATTCATCTTACACATGAATTTATTAGTCACTACCTACCAAACACTGTTTCAATAGACTTACATACCTTGTCTATATTAATTTATTTTAAAATCTTTAACATCTAACGTGTACAGTCTACCTTCCACAGCTGTATATATACATGCATACAAATACTAGCAAAAGGTTTTTTTGGCCTCTGTGGACATCAAAAAGAAAAAGTAAATAGGTCTAGGTCTTGCCGTGCCAGCTACGGTAGTAGTTTTCTTCCCTAAGGGAAAATTTGCTAATATAGTATCATAATAATGTGAAGACTATCTAGTCTGAAGCCGGAGGTCAGTTATGTTGGATAAGTTTGAGAAGATGTAAGTTTAGCAGAACAAAATGTCCTGGGGTAGAACATTATAACTCTACCACCATTGAGAACAAAGACAACATTTTTAGTCAACTATGAGATTCAGGTCCAATAACACCTGTCCCAATTGCTTGGTTACTCAAGAATTGGATGGAAGTTGCTGGTAGTAATCCTGTGTAAACTGTTTTACAGGCTTATAGCATCAACTATTGTATACTATTTACATCGTTGTCTTAACTATTAAATCAAAGAAAATGATTACATGAAGGACAGTGGTGACCCTGCTCACCGTCCTAGTGATTCTGACTGTTTGACAATATAGTACTTGGCCTCGGACTGTGTTGGGGGTTCGCAACTCTGCTCCGGCTCATGATGAGGGCTCCCGGGTTTCTGAAACAAAAATTGTCTTTAGTTTGATTTATATAGAGTAGGTACCGTATACCACATGCATATAACTTTTTCTATTTTTTTTACAAATAAAAGTAATCATACTCATGGTGAAAGGAAAATACATAGATGTGCTATTCCCGTCATATTCTGACATCACTTGGATTGAAAACAAAAGATCATCTGATTGTAACTGTCAAATTAGTATGTATTTATTTTTATTTGATTGTTATTGTTTTTTTTTATAAAAACACACATTATAAAAACAATAACAACCAAATCAAAACAAATACATATACTAATTTGCCAGTTACAATCAGGTGATCTTTTGTTTGCAATCCGAGTGACGTCAGAATATGACGGGAATAGCACACCTATGTATTTTCCTTCCACCATAAATCATACTAATATTATAAATGTAAAAATTTGTGTGTTTGTTTGTTTGAAGTTCAATCACGCATTAACTACTCGTCGGTTTATGGAAGGTATGGGGGTTTAGTGAGTGGGAGAAAATTTCGCGCCGTTCCGGCCAAGCCTCGCATGCGGGGTTGGTTCGGCAGATTGGCCACAACCTAAACCCCAACTCTTACTTGTTAGCTGCGGAGAGCTACCTTCTGGCCACTGGGTGTTGGTCCACCTACAGAACCAAGTGAGGGGGGCCCTAGACTAAGGTGTAATGCGATCCGTACCAAGAGTCTTGTGGCACTGGGGGCCTAATATTCAGTGTCTTAACGGAGCCTTCTGGGAACCAGGGGTAACCCAGTCGTACACACCCCTTACCTCTCTAATCGGGTCACTGGGGAGGTGGACTTAAATACCCGGTATTCGTGAGAACAATGTAGACAATCTGACCCAAATGGAGGAGGAAGGTCTACTGAAATCTGACGATGACGACAAGCTCGCCGAAACCGGAAAGGAACGAAAAACGACTTTCCAGGGGCGAGTTGCAAAGATGGAGGATAGCGGATGCTTTAGCCAAAGGCGAAAAGGTGCTATCCAGAAGTGAGAGGAAGCTGGTGTGGGCTGCCAAGCACCCTAACTCTGCTGCCTGCAAAGCCAGTTCCTCCGGGAACTCGGATGCTGGGAAAAAGCAGAGCAAGGGTGGTAAACCCCAAAGCTGACTCTAATGAAGCCTCCAGGAAGAAAGGTGGAGGCTGTGCTGACGCAGCCACAAAGGATTGGCTGGTCAAGCAAGTTCAGGAGCTGAGTCCTTTCAGGGAAATCTCGCTACGGCTTGCCCCAGCCAGAGACCTTGTGAAAGCTGTGAAGGTATATTTATGTGCCCAGCCCTACAAGGTCTGCGTATGAGATCCCTTGGCCTATTGATGGGAGATCAAAGGGAAGAACAGGTCACCATAGTCAAAAGGCTCTCACGGTTCACCAAGGACCTGGGATTTGACGGAGAATGAGGACCTGTGAACGAGGGTGCACAATAAGCTGTTGTAGCTGCGATGCAATCCCATGGTAACTTGTAAGCCTGGCCTTCTGTTAAAAAAAAAAAAAAAAAAAAAAAAAACTACTCGTCGGATTGGGTTGAAATTTTGTATGATGATAGCTCACATTCCCGATTAACATATAGACATATTCTTATCTCAAAAATCCTCTCGGGCTCCACCCCAGTGGCTCTAGAGTTTCCCATGATAACCTTATGAGTATTCATATTTAAAAGGAATTAAAGAATTTATCCAGCTGTTTCAACTACACAAGTTCGTTCTATGATATTCAATAGCAGTACGGTATTGTATTTGCATTGTTGCGGTAGACTAGTCTAAACGCGCAGATGTTTTTGATCCATAATGTTTCTGTTCTAATGTTTGTTCCGCGATCCCAATGACTAACACGTCGCAACCAGGTCCGTGAAGTTGGCGTACCCATATTAGCGTATCCACTTTTGATCATACCAATCGTTAGGTAGTTCATCGTTAGTTCTCGATAGTTCCCAAATTTTTTCGTTAGTTCTCAAAAAATAAAAAAGTTATAGCCGGTTATAAGTGGGTACGCTAACTTCACACTTCCGGGTTCTAGCACGCGCCGTTTTCTGAGGAGAAATGTTTACATCTATATACCAATCGTTAGTTCTTCGTTAGTCCTCGATAGTTCCCAAATTTTTTCGTTAGTTCTCAAAAAATAAAAACGTTATGAGGCATACAAAGTGGGTACGCTAACTTCACAATTGTACAATTTCCAGCGGGAACAGTTTTTTTACTATAAATGCCTATATCTATATACCAATCGTTAGTTCTTCGTTAGTCCTCGATAGTTCCCAAATTTTTTCGTTAGTTCTCAAAAAATAAAAACGTTATGAGGCATACAAAGTGGGTACGCTAACTTCACAATTGTACAATTTCCAGCGGGAACAGTTTTTTTACTATAAATGCCTATATCTATATACCAATCGTTAGTTCTTCGTTAGTTCTCGATAGTTCTCCAAAATTAACGTTAGTTCTCAAAAAATAAAAAAGTTACGAAGCATAAAAAGTGGGTACGCCAACTTCACAGTTATAGAATTTCCAGCGGGCACAGTTTTTTTTACTATAAATGACTATATCTATATACCAATCGTTAGTTCTTCGTTAGTTCTCGATAGTTCTCCAATATTTACGTTAGTTCTCAAAAAATAAAAAAGTTAAGAGGCATACAAAGTGGGTACGCCAACTTCACAATTATAGAATTTCCAGCGGGCACAGTTTTTTTACTATAAATACCTATATCTATATACCAATCGTTAGTTCTTCGTTAGTTCTCGATAGTTCTCCAATATTAACGTTAGTTCTCAAAAAATAAAAAAGTGAAGAGGCATACAAAGTGGGTACGCTAACTTCACAATTGTACAATTTCCAGCGGGAACAGTTTTTTTACTATAAATGCCTATATCTATATACCAATCGTTAGTTCTTCGTTAGTTCTCGATAGTTCTCCAAAATTAACGTTAGTTCTCAAAAAATAAAAAAGTTACGAAGCATAAAAAGTGGGTACGCCAACTTCACAGTTATAGAATTTCCAGCGGGCACAGTTTTTTTACTATAAATGACTATATCTATATACCAATCGTTAGTTCTTCGTTAGTTCTCGATAGTTCTCCAATATTTACGTTAGTTCTCAAAAAATAAAAAAGTTAAGAGGCATACAAAGTGGGTACGCCAACTTCACAATTATAGAATTTCCAGCGGGCACAGTTTTTTTACTATAAATACCTATATCTATATACCAATCGTTAGTTCTTCGTTAGTTCTCGATAGTTCTCCAATATTAACGTTAGTTCTCAAAAAATAAAAAAGTTAAGAGGCATACAAAGTGGGTACGCTAACTTCACAATTGTACAATTTCCAGCGGGAACAGTTTTTTTACTATAAATGCCTATATCTATATACCAATCGTTAGTTCTTCGTTAGTTCTCGATAGTTCTGTAATATTTACGTTAGTTCTCAAAAAAATAAAAAAGTTACGAGGCGTACAAAGTGAGTACGCTGACTTCAAATTTATAAAATTTCCTGCGGGCACCGTTTTCTGACTAAAAACGCTTATATCTATTTACCAATCTTTAGTTCTTCGTTATGTCGTGTTAGTTCCCCAATATTATTACTAGTTCTTAAAAAATAAAAAGGCAATAAGGTCTTAAACGTGGTTATGCCAACCTCAAACCCAAATCATTCCTAGCGTGCACCCTTGTCTGACTAAAAGTGCCTATATCTTAATATTAATCGTAAGATGGGCTCACTCATTTATTTTGTTAGTTCTAAAAAAATTAAATAAATATACGTATAGCCAATAATCAATAGATTAACTTATTTAATGCTTCTGATTTCCAGCGCGCACCTTCATTCAACGAAAAATGCTTACAGTATACTACTATACAACTAAATAAATATTGTCTCGACCCCGCCATACCCAATACGCCATGCTAGTAATGTGTTGTACACATTTATTCCATCCACTACTCCAGTCTCCAGTTTGTTCAAGTCCGTATGACCTTCCAGTCTCGATCCGTGCAACTGTCACTCGTAACGTGTTACGTTTAATGATGTAATTTTATAATACTAATACCGAACACAAACAAATACAAACAATACAAACGATTAGTTTAATTAACCAAACAGAAGTTCTTTGATCGTACATATTTTATCTGCTTAATCCAATTCAAATAATCACTGCTTATAAATTACTTTATACCATTTTACTTAGCAGACTCTGGTTTTCATTTTGATGGATAGTTTATTTTGTTTCCATGATGGACTTTTTATAAAATGCACTTTTTCACACAACTAAGTAGGTATAAATATGATTTCATTGCTTATCTAAAACCAATTTTTGGAAGCGTTGTCTTTTTTGGATGTTCTAATTAACTGAACATATTCAACTGTTAATCATTTTGATAACGTAATCAAAATTATCACCCCTAAAAAATAATCTAACCGAGTGACACCTGCAACTACTATTGCGAATATCACAGATAAGCGCTATCCTGGAACTGATAAGCAATCCTTTCTCTTTGAGAGAATCATAATGTGATAGTTATTCTAATGTCAGTGTTACTTTGATTTTCATTGTGTGAAGATGAATCAAATTACAATGCATGGAACTAAAAATTGGTATATAGATTTAAGCGTTTTTAGTCGGAAAACGGTGCCCGCTGGAAATTTTATAATTTTGAAGTCAGCGTACTCACTTTGTATGCCTCGTAACTTTTTTTTTTTTTTTTTGAAACTAACGTAAATATTGGAGAAATATCGAGAACTAACAAAGAACTAACGATTGGTATATAGATGTAAGCATTTTTATTTAAAAAAACTGTGCCCGCTGGAAATTCTATAATTGTGAAGTTGGTGTACCCAATTTTTATGCTTCGTAACTTTTTCATTTTTTGAGAACTAACGCAAATATTGGAGAACTATCGAGAACTAACGAAGAACTAACGAATGGTATATAAATATAAGCATTTTTATTTAGAAAACTGTGCCCGGTGGAAATTCTATAATTGTGAAGTTGGCGTACCCACTTTTTATGCTTCGTAACTTTTTTATTTTTTGAGAATTAACGTAAATATTGGAGAACTATCGAGAACTAACGATTGGTATATAGATATAGGCATTTATAGTAAAAAAAAACTGTTCCCGCTGGAAATTGTACAATTGTGAAGTTAGCGTACCCACTTTGTATGCCTGATAACTTTTTTATTTTTTGAGAACTAACGAAAAAATTGGAGAACTATCGAGAACTAACGACAAACTAACGATTGGTATATAGATATAGGTATTTATAGTAAAGAAACTGTGCCCGCTGGAAATTCTATAATTGTGAAGTGTGCGTACCCACTTTGTATGCCTCTTAACTTTTTTATTTTTTGAGAACTAACGTAAATATTGGAGAACTATCGAGAACTAACGAAGAACTAACGATTGGTATATAGATATAGGCATTTATAGTAAAAAAACTGTCCCCGCTGGAAATTCTATAACTGTGAAGTTGGCGTACCCACTTTTTATGCTTCGTAACTTTTTTATTTTTTGAGAACTAACGTAAATATTAGAGAACTATCGAGAACTAACGAAGAACTAACGATTGGTATATAGATATAGGTATTTATAGTAAAAAACTGTGCCCGCTGGAAATTCCATAATTGTGAAGTTAGCGTACCCACTTTGTATGCCTCTTAACTTTTTTATTTTTTGAGAACTAACGTAAATATTAGAGAACTATCGAGAACTAACGAAGAACTAACGATTGGTATATAGACATAGGCATTTATAGTAAAAAAACTGTGCCCGCTGGAAATTCTATAACTGTGAAGTTGGCGTACCCACTTTTTATGCTTCGTAACTTTTTTATTTTTTTAGAACTAACGTTAATTTTGGAGAACTATCGAGAACTAACGAAGAACTAACGATTGGTATATAGATATAGGCATTTATAGTAAAAAAACTGTTCCCGCTGGAAATTGTACAATTGTGAAGTTAGCGTACCCACTTTGTATGCCTCATAACTTTTTTATTTTTTGAGAACTAACGAAAAAATTTGGGAACTATCGAGGACTAATGAAGAACTAACGATTGGTATATAGATGTAAACATTTCTCCTCAGAAAACGGCGCGTGCTAGAACCCGGAAGTGTGAAGTTAGCGTACCCACTTATAATCGGCTATAACTTTTTTATTTTTTGAGAACTAACGAAAAAATTTGGGAACTATCGAGAACTAACGATGAACTAACGATTGGTATGATCAAAAGTGGATACGCTAATATGGGTACGCCAACTTCACGGACCTGTCGCAACCAGAGAGAATATAATATCCGCAACAATGCTGGTAAACAGCTGATATTAATGTTATCACAACTCACGAGTTGGTTATTGAACTTTATTATCATACTATATAGACTGATTATCTGCATGGAAATGTTGGTTAAGACAATTAAAAATGAAGAGGTAACGTCTACAGAATATAAATTGGCTTTACAGCTTCATTAACCGTGGAAAAATTGAAAATGAAGACGTTTTACACGTAAAACAAGTAAGTTTAAGGTATATGATTTGAAAGGTTAACTAGAGTTCCAGTGTAATAGTTTTATTTTAACACGTTTGTTTTATTTATATATCAATTCTAGTGATTCAGTTTAAAAACTAACTTCTTCATACTCGTGTAAATCATGCTCTATACTGGTAAAAATAGTCTTAGGGATGTTGTAATAATTTTAAAATTATATTGTGGAGTAAAAGAATTCATTGACAAGTGAATTTTTAAGCACTTCAGATGTAAATACAGACACAAATAAGTAATTTCTAAAGAACTTTATCAGCTGATACTTTACTTATGAATATTTAAAATTCGTATAATCTACCTGAAAAAGCATTCGTTAGAACTTTTTATTATGTTATATAAACAAATATAAAACAAAAACTATACATATTAAAGCGAAGATGCTGAGTTAGAAGAATGTATCCTAATTGTAAAGATTCATATATGATTTCAACAAATTACATTCTTTGCCAGTGACAGTTTGGTTATTCTCATTACTGTCACATAGCTCAGGTATTGTTTGATTGAAAGTGACAGTTATAATGTTTTGTGAAGTGTAGACGTAACTTACTGAATGCTTTGACTTTTACAGAGTAAAATGGGTAATTTTGTAAGTTTATCAAGCTAATGTAAGTTTGATGGACTTTTCCTACAAGTTTGTACTACACTATAAGTTTCGGGAGGTAGGCCTAAAAGAACTTCTGACGTTTTCAAGTGGTCAAATATGCATTTACCTTTTTTAGTAAATACCAAAACTAGTGTCAAAACAATTAGTGTAGGAAAAACCCATAAAAATAAAATTAAAATAGTCATCCTTCGTACCTATGAACTTAAAAAACACAGTTGCCAAGTTTAATTAAAACGCAAAGCTTTATTTCAATATGTAATCTATATATATAAAAGGCAAAGCCCTCACTGACTGACTGACTCACTCATCACTAATTCTCTTACTTCCCATTTACCTAGGAGGCTGAAATTTGGTACACTGATTCTTTAGGCATTAAATAGGAAAACTAAGCTGTTTTTATTCTGATCGGACTCTCGGGCTCCGCCCCAGTGGCTCTGGAGTTTCCCATTATAACCTTATGAGTACTGATATTTAAATGGAATTAATGAATCTTAACAGCTGTTTCAGTTAAACAAGTTGGATCTGTTCTATGATGTTCAATAGCATTAAAGTTACAAGGATTACCAACAGGGTGCAGCACTATTATTTCTTTTACATTGATGACAACAGCTAATTTGTAACCAAAAGGTGAGTGAGCGTAGCGAACGAACTTCAACCTGGAGGCGAGTTAGCGTAGCGAACGAGCTAACCTGAAGGCAAGTGAGCGCAGCGAACGAGCTCCAACCTAAAAGTGAGTGAGCGTAGCGAACGAACTTCAACCAGGGCGTGATTGAGCCATGCGAACGAGCTCACTTTTGAAGTTAAACGGGGCAAAGCCCGCGGGTACAGCTAGTCTTACTATAAATATTACATTTTATATTATTTAAGTCTATAGTATTAAGTTTATTATGAATGTCTTGATTGTTTTGTATTGCATGTTGAGTTTGTATAGTTTCTTATATAAAAAACCATCTAAAATGGATTAATTGCTCAACAGTAGAAAGAAGTTGAACCTACGAGTTATAACAGTAACTTATTGCAAGACGTATACTCATCAATATATACAATAAATATGTGAAATCATAATGTTTACATAAATTATACTAATTTGTACTACAAATGTGTGGAATTATAAACCTTTACTCTGAAATATTCATAATATTTATAGAACTCCTATCAGCATATTTTAGGCTACTAGAAAACATATAAAATATGTCTACGAACATTTTAAAATATTGTGTTTTAAATTTCTTTGGTTCAATACTTACATTCTTTTAATTGTTCATACATATTTTAAAAAACTACAGTTAACATCTATCTCATGTTCCTGAACGTAATTTAATACAAAACATATAGAGCTCATTGACACAACTCGAAGTTGGGGGCCTGTATTACTCTGGTCTAGACAGACTCGTATAACAAAATATATAGATTTGTTTTCAAGAATTAATTTTCAAAACCAAATCAAGAGCGACCATTTAATTAAATGAAACTATTTCACAACAGACCTCTTTAGTTATAGTTTTAAAACTTAAATGGCCCGAACGATTTTGATAAAAATTTAGTATGTTATAGTCCTTTATATTCTGAACAAAATGGTACAAATCCCATTTTTGTAAAAATTACGGTTCAAAAATTATTGTAAATTATGTCATTTTCCCATAAAATACCAGAAAAATATGATTTTCCCAAAAATGGCCCGAACGATTTTGATCAAAATTTAGCATGTTATAGTGCTTTAAATTCTGAACAATATTGTACGAATCCCATTTGCGTATATTTACTCTCACCACTTACCCATAATAAAGGTTGTTGACAAACTTATGGGAGAAAGTATGTGTCAGAATGCTGATACCGTTTATTTAGCTTTCTTTAAAAAAGGTATTGTGTTCCTACATAAGCTAAGCTTAATTCCTAGCCTGAGCTTAATAGTTGACAAGACATCTTCTATTGCTCATTGTAGCAATTCAAGTAATAAATGTGGTAATGAACAAACTCATTTAATTTAATTTCTCTACAAAATATTCCAAATTACAATGAAGCGTCAATTACAACGATTTAACAGTAAGTTGTTATACACAATCAAAAAAATTATTATCCTTTAGCAGTAAATATCAGCACAAAATATCTTTGACTTTGAGATGATCAATCAGTAACAAAGAGAAAACTCCAGTGATACAGACAAAACTAACTTTTGAATAAGCAATGGTATACAGACAATTTTGAACTTTGTTGATATTTTCCAGTGTTGTAGACAAAACTTACTTAAAAAGAGCTATGATATACAGAAAATGTTGACCATAACTGATATTCAATTATATTTCAAGATATTAATGAAACTATCAAATTATAGGGTAGTAGTAAGAAAACTCGAAAGGAAAGATGAAAATACGCAAACAAACCACTTAACATCTCTTTTGAGTGTCAAGAATAGAAAAAAGGATAAAAATAACATGATTATTACTTAGGGTGGACTTCGTAACAGATTAGAAAAAAATTAAATCTTAGTTAAATGCTCTAATTCCCTAATACAGTGTGGCACCTACACAATTGTTTACTGTACAAATTTACAAATGAAAAAATGTATTTTCTAGTGTTGACAAATCCGTGATGTCAATCACTAAATTTAATTTGATTCTCAATTCAAAAATATATAACAAGAACTTGTTTTTATAACAGAAAATAGTAAGAGAACACAGAAAACACAATACACTTGAAGGTTTACCTTATGTCGGTGGCGGCGGTGGCGAGGCATACTGCAGCTCAGATACAGCTCTACTGACACAATCTACATTTTATATAAATTTCTAAAATTAGCAAAGTGTCAAGAGGAGGTGGTGTTGCCAGTGGCGTTTGCCAGAGTTGAGGAATTCAAGCGTCGCGACCGCGGTGCTAACGCACTACACGCTGTAAGGCGCATCAGCTGGCATCGGACTTGGTCAGATGTTAATGGAGGTTCTATTAGATATTTGCAAGAGTTCTTTACACTTACGAACCAACAAAGACTTGGATCAATCGTTTAATGGTTTGTAAATAAAGTAAGATTGCAGAATATTAAACTGTACTTATAACAGTAATCCTTGTATATAAGGTATATAACTACCAATTGAGATGTTGACGTTCCCGAATATGAGTGTAACATGAAGTGAAATACCTTGTGTAGCTTTGCTGCTAATTAATAACAGCTGTTAAACTAGTCAGGATAATTTAGTAAAATGCCAATGAGCAAGGACAGATTAAAACTATTTTCCCTACAGTCACCTGACAAAGTGGTCTTCTTGCAATAATTAAAGCACAGAAAGCATTTCAACCAAACAACACACAAAACAGCGTCCTTTTTTGCCACGATCAGCTGGTGCAGCGTTCCCCATTTCGTTCAATATTTGGATCGTAACCTAAAAACGTGATGTTCAGTGTTTGAAAGACTAATCATTTATATGCTTTATACTAACAGTGCAATGTGTAACGCGAGTGCAAACTGTCTCTTCTGCACTCGAGAAACTTTCCACACTCGCCTACGGCTCGTGCTTAAACATTTATCTGTACAGCAAAGTGCCACTTCACCCACTAGTTACACAAATAACTATACAAAACATGTCCTTATTTTACATGTACGTCTTGAGCAACTGCCGAAGAAAACTAATGTATTCTGTCCGGTTTATATTATGACATTATTCGTTTTAGGCATTTAAACAATGTGTATTAAATTTTGGTAATATATAGCAAAACATATTTTTGCAGACTGCTGCTTGTCCTGTGTTTTGTAACCATAGAGTAAGCACGAAACGTAAAATCCATCAGGAAACAAGAAAGAAACGTATTTGGCATAAACGCACTCGTAAACCTACATGAAACACACATCAGACAGCCTTCAGATTTCACAATAGGTTGAAAGTCTAAAGCACTATTCTGAGTCGACGGGTTTGCAAAATATTCAATTATAGTTATTCTAATATGTTTTTATATCTTTGTGTCGGTTCTCAATTAGTTGTGAAAAACATAAGTGTAAACATTGGAATCTTCAACAAAACAAAAATTGTAAACTTCCTACTGACGCTTCTGATTATTTCATGCGAAGTTAATTATATATTTGACATTACACGTTACCCTTACAAATATAGGTTGTCTCCTTCAAGAAAGCAAGAACAGTTTTAAACCTATATAGATGACAATAGGTTAGGCAGCACAACCTCCCATGCCTGAATGTAACCTTTTCTGCGATTTTTTATAACCATCTTATCACGCTAAAGGAGTTAGTAAAAGTCCTTAATTTTAATCATAAGGTTAAAGCCAGTTTTAAGCTGTGTAAATCTTTCTTGAACTTACAGAGAACGCTGTAAAACCTCCCATCAGCAACGTTGATCTCGTTGTCCAATGAAACGCGAACAACCAGTACTTGGTATTGGCAGACAAAAACAAGCAGACTAAAAAAATAAACTGTGAAAACTTCAGAGAGGTTCAGTACAAACCGTGAAAAAACTTACTCATTTACATACATAAAGTTACAGAGCTCTTCACACTATCCTACCTCATCCTGTGGTCAATTCTCTATCATTATGGCGTGTTTTGTTTACTATTTATTTATTTATTTTGATGTTTTGTCAATGTTGCACTTGCAACTAGACATCATGTTGTTGATGGAGATTTTGACCACAGGTCGAACCTATTTTGTCATAACAAGACTACTAGATCGCGCCACTCATCCTACACTCATCTCCATTCATACTTGGCTGAAAATACCTATTTGTATGGTCGCCATTTCATTGAAAAGTAAAAGTAAAGTCCAAAGGTTACATAGATTGTTATACAAAATAGCTACATTGCACTAAAACGCTTGCAACTTATCAGCTGATATAATTTACCTACAAAATAAACCAACTGCAATAACCTTGCGTTAAGACTTGGACTGACGTCACTACGACATGTTGGATTCCGTTCAAATAATCGACTGTTATCTGGTAAGCGCTTGTGTGAAGACCAACACTCAAGGAAGCCATCCTTTAAACCATTGATTATTTTTTATATTAATTTGACAACACTTTATAAATGTAGAATTTTCCACTTTTCATCTCCTGCGTATCTTCCGAAACTAGTTCAAATGTTTAAAATATATAACCAACAGCAGCCTAAAAAAATACGATTTAACTTACCCAGATAGTTACAAAATGCTCAAACTCGGATTGTGATATTTATAATTCGGCTTATATTTCTCTTAACTAACTGCAGAAGAAGTTCATTATGCTCTTATCGTGCCTAATAACATCCAAACACAGAATCATTGCCTAAAATGGTACATATATTGACAAATTATTTGCAGTGGCCTATATTACGGACCGTGGCCCATTGGTTTGGTGAGATTATTGAAAATAACGCTACACTTTGACTGTAAAAAATGGCACAAAGGGTAATTATCATTCAAGCAGCTACTGTCATGATAGAAAGGTCATGTTCATTTCAAAACTAGATCACATAATCCTTTATAAGATACGTTGAATACAACAATGCATGTAAACGTCACTATTTACGTATCAGCCAATTTGCAGGTTTTTTTTTCTTTTTGGAGATGCAGCATTGCTATGTCATTTGCATTATTTGTTGCAAATGAAGCCGCACGACCATATGAACGAGGAGGCCCCTAACAGTTCAAGAATAAAAGCCAGCTTCACTAAAAGTATATTCCACTACACCTAACGTTCCGTAGAGAGATTATATTGACAACCTTATGTAATTGATAAGGCTGACAAAACTGATATCCGCATCTCAAGAAATTTCCACGACCAATTTCTCACAACTATGCTAGAGTGTCATAGGCACAGAAGTATGATATGATGACCGACACGACGTGACGAAGAAAAATATAAAACTTACACAACTAACAGGTGGACATCCCTTTGAAATAAGAACGTACCTTCTTAACAAAGAGATATTTTTTCTCAAATAAAAGCATAGATTAGTTCACTGATGAAATCACGGAAGTGTTTAAACACAAAAGATGCACCAATACAATTTTAATACTATTTCAAGGTTCTTCCAAAAGAAGGGAAACCAGTTAACGTAGTAATATGAACTCCGATATCGCACGATATGGGAAATATTTTATTCATTGAATGATCAACCATATTTTGTAACTAACGCAATAGCCCGTATTGCTTTTACACTAAACTTATTACTCATTAAACCATGCTAAATGCTCAAAATGTTTATTATTTCACTCAATTTATCGCAGTTAGCTTCTTAGCCTTGAAAGTAACCGTCGATTTCGACGGGTCCCTAGTTAAATATAATATGTTATCCAACTATGTGGTAGGTTTATTTAATCTAAAACTTTAAAAGTTTACATATTCTATATGTATAGCAAACAATGGTTTCAACAGACATTTTGTTATCAAGGCTTAGAGTTGTGTAAGAGGCTCGGTGTATATTTAGCCAAATCTAGGCGAGATTGAGCTTTCTAGTAAATCCCCAGATGGCATTAAGTATACCATTACTGGTGTCAACGAGTCCATCCGCTGCGACATTGCCAAAAGGTTCTCACTCGACTTAATGCATGGCTGGAACTACTAAGTCCATCCTAGGGTTAACGTTGTTAGCACGTTTAAGAATGGTGTAATGAACTAAGTTGAACTGAACCACTAAAATATTGCACTGTAAATTGTTACGGATTTAAATCAACTTGTTAACCAAGCCAGACCAAAGAACAATGCTGTTAACTATAGAGTTATTCAAGTTATTTTCAGAGTAAAAATCATAATTTTAGACAGCAGCAAACTTGAGTGGCTATTTTAAACTTAATTTTATGAATGTTAGATACAGCTGTTTCGTGTATATGTGGAATGTCTACATCAGTATAAATCATTTATAAAAAAAACTTTTTAAAATACCACGTTTTTAAACGAACTAAAAAGCTGAAAATAATATAAACTATTTTCTGCTTTTTAGTTCGTTTAAAAACGTGGTATTTTAAAAAGTTGTCTTATTTATAAATTTGTATCTACTTTTAGCGAATTTCCCTATAGGGAAGTAGCTATTAGCGAATTTCCCTATAGGGAAGTAGCTATTACCGTAGGTCTCATGGTAAGACTTAGGCCCGGGACCGATTTACTTTTTCATTTTAATGTCCCCAGAGGCCAAAAACACCATTCGTTCAAATTTTTATATATGTATATATATATATATAGGTATATATATATATATATATATATATTTATATATATATATATGTGTCCGTGAACACGATAACTTGAGTAATTTTTATCCGATTTTGATGAAATTTGGTTTGAAGGTGTAAGGCGGGATAAACTTGAATGAGTTCGCGATCCAGCATGATCGGACCATGGGAACAGGGTTTTATGGGGGGTTTTATGGGGTAAAAATTGGTTTTTCTCACTTTTTACCCTCAAAACACAAAATTTCCCAATTTTTCTCTAAACCTTCTTAAAGAGCTTAAAAAAACAAACAATTCAGTATATCAAAGTGTTTTTGTACGGTTATTGGTTACGGATAAAACTAAAAAAATTGTAAATTTAAAATTCCCATGTTATTCTTATGGAGAATATTGTAAAATGTTGTAGTTTGCTTGTTTATGGATATATTTTGATCAAACTTGGCAAATTTATTTATTTTATAGTAAGCTATCAATATTTTACTAAAAACACACTACTTTATTAGTTTCCTTGTAGCAGCAAACCTAGGTACTCGTTAAACCTAATGTTATTTAAATAGATCAATTGAAAATCAATTCGGCCAAATGGAAATTCGCTTAGACGGCAGGTTTGCTGCGGCGGGGGTATTTAGTA